TCTCTGGGCAGATGCTGTTTCATCTTTTTCTTGCAGAACAGCTGGTGGATTTGAACTATCAACCTTTCAGTTATCAGTGCCACACAAAAAAAACACAATACCACCAAGGCTCCTAACCTAATTCCCTTAGACAATTCATAAACTGTCCCAGTCCCTGCATTAAGTAAATGAACAGACTGAACACCTTAGAGTAGAACACTTTGCATATAATTTTTGGTTCCTGTGTACGGAATTCCAAGAAGCCCTGGTGGCTCAATGCTTTAAGAATTTGGATGAGGCAGTCTGCTTCTGTGACGCTCTATGGCCTTGGAAACCCTGTATGCAGATCTACTGTGTCCTCTGCAGCCTGGTGGCTTGGGATGGACTTGATGGCTATGGGGACAGGGAGGGCAAACACTGAATTGCTCAGACCCTTTCTCCCCGAAACTTTCCTTTCTTGGGACCCTACCCAGCAATCAGAGCTATGCCTAAAACATAAGAAATACTGTTACGGCTGAGTCTCAGTTCATAGTTCTGCCTCCTTATTGATGGATTTATAGACATTGGTCCTCCCGTATTTCACAGTCACTGTGGGGAGTGGGTGGCAGGCATTGTGGACAAATGTAAGTCACAGAAATGCAAGTGCATCAGCAATGAGAGCTCACTGTGGTTCAGCGGGTGGCACAAGCAAGAACCGGCCTTCTTACTCTCCAAACCCATGTTCCAGTCACCAAGTCCAAGTCCCCCTGAGCAGAATGAGAAAGCTTTTGCAAGTATATAATCTCTCCTGTGGACTGCCAAAAAAAAACACAAAGAAATCTGTCTTGGACAAAGTGCAGCCTTAGAAGGGAGGATGAAGATTTGTCTCTCACACTTTGGACTTGTAAGGAGGGACGAGTCCCTTGGAAGAGACATAATGTGTGATAAAGGGTCATCTGAAAAGAGGAAGACCCTCAATGAGATGAGCTGACAAGTGTCTTCAACAAAGGGCTCACACACAGCAATGACTGTGAGCATGGCACAGGATGGGCCCCTGTTTCATTCTGTTGTGCACAGGGTCCTGTGAGGCAGAGGTGACTCTCTGGCCCCAAACAGCAATCTTTTCCATCCTGTGATGAGTTACCTTCCTCATGCATCTATACCCTCTGTACCCACAACTCCCAACTACTGGTGACCTGAGTCCCTCATGATCCCAGACTGGTTCTTTCATTCATTCGACAAATATGAACAAGTTCCTGCCAGGATGGAGGCACTGTGTGTTTCTTTGCAATGAAATTATTTGAGAAAATTATTATTCCAATTTTATTTAAAAAGGAAGAGCACAAGAGTTACAGACAACCAGTGCAAACATGGCATTGTCAGTCACAACAGACATTAATACACTAGTGAATACATAGGCAGACAGGCAAGGTGGACAGGTATGAGCAGGCGAATGAGACTCCACCCATGACTGTACAGGTGGGGCAGATATTTCTATATCACATATCTGTACCATGTATATAAGTTTCTGTATGTGATACAAATAGATCTCACATAGTACAGCAAACAGAAAGCACAATTATGAAAACTTCTTTGCCATAATCCAGCACTCTGAGAGCATGAGTCACAGGAGCTGGCAGCTCAGGACCATAGCTGAGGGGCCATCAACGTCAAGTGATAAAACACAATGTCCTACATCCTACGCTGGGGACTGAAAGCTTGTGAGTGGTCCTCTAAAGGGTAACTATTGGTCTCCTCATCGAGAGCAAGGAAGAGTGAAAGAATCAAACACTATTGGTCGAAAGGAGGACGTGAATGTCAGGCTCCATGAACCTGAGACCAGAAGAGCTAGATGGAGCATGGTACCACTGCTGGGCACTCCTAATGGGAGCCCAGCAGGACATCTCTGATAGATAGGGAGGAAAATGTGGAACAACATTCAGAATCATTAAGAAATAGAAAACAAAACCAGGCTTACTGGTCCAATGGCCAGATGGGATCCCTGTGGGTCCCTGGGACTATAGCCCTTAATCAAGAACTGAATTCCATCCTGTGACTTGACTTTCAGCCTGACAACAGGTAGGTATATAAAGGAGACCAATAACTTGATGGAGAAACACAGTCCTTAGAACCATCAATCATACAAGATAAGAGGGTAACATTGGCCCAGTGATAATGGTCAGACAGTGGTAAGGGAGAGGAAAAGAGACAAATGGGTAATACAGTGAGGAAAGCAGGAATAGAACTATTACAGAGCAAGGATTTTAATCAGTCACATAAATGTATGAACTATTGAATAGAAAACCAATTTTCTTTGTAAATTTTCACTCAAATCATAAGAGGAAGTTTAAAAAATAAATTCTTTATGAATTGCTCTTCTCTAACACCCCAAGTGTGGTTTAATATTGGTTAAAACACGTCACTGCTAACCTCAACTATGGCCATTCAAACCCACCTGCCACTCTATGAGAGAAAGGTGCAAGTCTGCAGCCTTGCATTTCATGAGTCCTTGTTTTTCAATGCTACATAATATTCCATTGTGTGAATATACCACAGCTTCTCTATCCATTTGTTTGTTGATGGGCACTTGGGTTGTTTCCAACTCTTTGCTATTGCGAACAAAGCAGCAATAAACATGGGTGTGCAGACATTTGCTTGGGTGGCAGTTCTGGTTTCTTTAGGAAAAGGGGGTGGTTCTTACCAACTCTATAGACATGTGAGGGTGGTACAGGATGGGACAAGTTTCCCATTTGTTGTTCATAGGGTCGCTATGAGTTGTAGTCAACTTGATGACACCTAACAACATATATATTGGGGGGTACCCTATAACTTCCAGGCCATGAGGAATCCTCATTTTCCATACATGTTCTTTATGTTGGTGGTTTTTGTTGTTGTTGTTATGTGCCGTGAAGTCACCTGTGACTCATACCAACGCTATGTACAACAACTCTAAATCCTGCTCTATCCTGTGCCAATTTAACTGTCTCCGACACACCTACCCCCATTACCCTGTCACTGACTCAGTCCACCTCATAGAGGGTCTTCCTCTCCTGTGCTGTCCTTCCACACTCCCAAGCATGATGTCCTTCTCCAAGGATTTGGCCCTCCTTGCAACATGTCCAAAGTACGTAAGAGGGTAAGAGGAAGCTTCAGAATTCTTGCCTCTAAGGGGCAGCCTGGTTTAACCTTCTCTTGTAGGGTAATTAATTTAACATTATCTTTCCAAGTCCACCCTATCTGCCCTTGCTCCTCCTTGGACCCAATACTTAGCCATGGGACAAAGCAAGGTCAAGTCCTTCCAGAGCCTTCATGCTACATGAATAGCTGTAGCACTAATTAACCTCAAAGCTGCTCTGGCCCTGGGAGCTCACACAATCGATCACTGGGCTCAAACACAGAAACCACCAACAGGAACAAAGTAAACACTCATTTAGTCTAAGTTTTGGACCAACTTACCGCTGGGAAATCTCCTCCAGTTTTGGTTTACGGCCTCAGAAACCCAAGTCCGTCCCAGCTGAACAGTAATGCTTAAGTAGTAGAATTGAAGAAAGCTGAAGCAAGTTCCCCAAGATGACAGCCCAGAAAACCCCACACAGCTGTGTTCTGTAGCCTACAGGGCCCTGAATCAGTGACGGCATAGGTTTGGGGTTAATGACCTGCATTTGGTACTCTGGACAGGAGTGTGGTTCCAGAACTTCTGAGTTCAAAGGTAGCATTGACTTAGAAGTGGGGTTCAAGGCACTTATACTCCATCAGCAGAGAGTTCAGAGTGTCTTTGCCTCCTTTTCCCTCCCATAAGATGTATGACTGGAAGATGCCTTTTGAGTGGGAGAGACTATTGAACACGTCAGGGCTGTCAGAAGGAACAGATCTGTCTTGAAAATAGTGCAGCCAAAATGTTCTTTAAACCAGAAGCAAAGATGGGAGACTTCATTTCACATATTTTAGACGTGTTACCAGGCGAGGATTTAACAATAACAACAACATAGAGCTCTGTTTGCCTAGTGGATAGATAGTTATGCTACCAAGCCAAAGGTGTGTGATTTTAATCTGCGGCCCTCAGGCCTGGTTTTAACTGTTTTTGGTCAAACCTTCTTCTAAGTGGTATAGCGCTGGTCTGTCCGTTTGCTGTATAGAGCTAACTCCTGGTTGCTGTAATGCTGGACACTGGGACACTGATGTGTCACAAGCGATCATGGTCACCCGTGGTGGACAGTTTGGTGGAGCTGGGAAGCAGGAGTGGCATCCACTTCGGAAACAGCTTGCCTTTGGAATCTCTCTGAACTTAGAGAAACAATGGAAGTTATAGAAGTGTCCAGGTCTTTCGTTCATAGGGTCGCTATGAGTCGTCTACGATTCGAAGGCACTTAACAGTAACAATCAGGAGGGGACAGTCGCTAGAGGAAGCCACTGTGCATGGCAGAGGGTCAGTGGCAGCTGGCTTGAGTGCCTCTGGGTTTAAGCACAGCACAGACAGGCTGGAACAGGCTTTGTTCAGTTCTAACATGGGTTGCTCTCAGCTGCAATGGACTTGTCGACTTCAACAAGTCTCTCCTCGTTTTTAGCTCTTCTTTTTGAAAGCAAGTGATTCTGACCAAGAACGGGGGTGAGAAGGGTCCAGAAAGGTCTGCAGAGGGTGCACGGAGAGCACACCTGTGGCCCTGACTAAGGCGCAGCGCTGACAGTATCTGAGGCTCTGAAAGGTGGCCGGGGGGCTGTCACCACGCTGCAAATGTCTGTGACAGGGGTTTCTGAACGGACAAAGGCGCATTCGCTCGTTGGATCCCAACATTCCAATGCCTAGGAATTCGTCATTTGACAAACAATGTGTGTGAAATCGTCACGACTTCAGCCTGAGAGTCCGAGGACGAATTTCGAGGAGTGGGAAATGCAAAAAGACCCCGCGGGCAAGCAGCCACCACACCCTGACAGCGACCCGCGCCGCGCCCCCGGGCTGCGTGCGTGCTTACGGGCGCGTGCGCGTGCGGACGACGCGCGTGCGCGCACCGCCCCCGCGACCTCACTGCGCATGCGCCACAGCCACTTCCGGGACCTGTCAGCCACTCCCTCCCGACCCACGGCTTCCGCCCGCGCCCGCCGGAGCTTGTTCGCGTCGACTGACCAGAGTCCGCCAATTCTCCGCTCCGCGCCCGCCCGGACAGACAGCCCCCGATCCCAGGTAAAGGGCAGCGGACGAGCTTCTGATGCTGGCCGCCTTCACGGCGCAGGCCGCGCGCCGGGCACAGCCAGCGGGGGCGGCCAGGCGGGGGGCTTAGGCCGGGGGACCCCCGCTAGCTGAGCGGCAGGCCGGGTCTCCGGCCTCTGGACTCCTGGTAGGGTGGGATCCACGTTCTCCAGCGTCTTCCTGAGCCTTTGGGTTCCCTGCATGGACAGATCGCGTCTCCAGATCGCAATGCGAGAATTCACGATTTCCGCTGTATCCTCATAGTCCCATTTGCATCTCTATTGTGGGCATTCATCGTGGCAGAATTTGGGGCAAATTCTGTCTCGCGGGACAGAGGACTGTCCATGGGGTTTCCAGGGCCGTAATCTTTATGGAAGCAGACTGCCACATCTTCGGCGGCGCTGCTGATGGGTTATGACAGACAGCACCCCTTTCTGTTAATTAACAGCCAGGGTCTTGCGCGCTGCACGACCCGGGCTCCTATATGGGGCTTCTCAGGGACTTCTACTTTCCTCTGATGTCGAAAATGGGTCGCTGCACGTAACAGGCACCCAGGACAACCTAGGGCCACCCGCTGTCTTTCCGTTATTAGAGGATCTGTCTCCAGAAAGTCTCACCCCTGCCCTTGATCAGCTGCTAATCCAGCTTCTGGGATCCCTAAGGGTTTCACTGGCTGATTTTCAGAAGCAGCTCCCAGGCCTTTCTCCCTAGTCCTTGGCAGAACAGCTAGACATTTAAATTGTAGCTTAGAATCTTTGATGATAACTCCCCTCCTGTGGCTTTGGAAGCCGGAGGAGATGTTAAACACTGCCACTCTTTGCCCACTTTTCCCAAGTTATCTTGGTTCTTCTCCCCTTTTTTGGTCTAACTTTTTTGGTCGATTTTGTCTTTTTGGTTCCAGATTGTTAATTGTGGTTAAGTCCGTACCACCTTTCAGCCCTACGTGTATGGAGTAGAGCTGCCCCATACGGTTTTCAAGGCAGAAGCAGATTGCCAGGTGCCTCTGGGCAGTTCTGAACTAACTTTTCTTACACATTTGTGCTATTCAAAGTCGCTCTCAGTTTTTCAGGTGTCTATTAAGAAAGGACAGGAGCTCTGATAGCTTAAGAGAAGGTGTTGTGCTGCCAAACCTAAGAGAGGTGGTTCAAATCCACCAGCTGCTCTGAAGAGGTTCGTAGCCTCTGAAAACCTACTGAGTTTGTTCTGACTTGACAGCTCATAAAACAATGAAAATAGGGAGTGCTGGCGACAGAGTGGTTAATGTCCAGCTGCTATTGAAAAGTTGACAGTTTGAATCCACCAAGCAGCTCCATGGAAGAAAGACCTGACAATATGCTCCCCTAAACATAACCATCTAGAAAACCCGGTAGGGGTATTCTCTGGGGCATACGGGTGCTGTGAGTCAGAATCAGCTTTGTACCATCTAACAGCAACACAGAAAAAAGGAAAGCCGGGTTGGTTTTGCCACCACTCAAGAATGGGCTTAAAGAACACTGGTGGCATAGTTCATACTGTATAGGCTTGCTAAACAGAAGGTTTGAATCTGCTATCCACTCCAGAAAAATGGAGGAGAGTAATTCAGCTGTTCACAACTGAACAGTTTCAATGGAAACTCTTGCTTTGAAGAGAGAGTGGCAGTGTTTTGTCTAGTTATCTAACCCCATACTGAGGTGGTTGTGAGGCGTACCTGTCTCCATGAACAGTGAGAGGGTGGGGTAAGCTGGTGGGAGTGCCCGGTATTGATGGGTTGGGCAGGGAGAGCAATTAGAAGCAGGATGAATCACCTTTGCAAGACTGACCCTAAACCAGGAACTGCACATCTCAGTGGTGTGAATACTTTGAATGAAGCTCCAGAGATGGAAAGCTCAGAATTTAAAGCTTAAACTTCTTCAAGGTCAGAAGATAATGACTAGTGTGTATTTGTAGGAGTGACGGGCCATCCAAAAGGAGAGAAGTAATTTTTTTGAGCATCTCTTTGGGGCTTAGTGATAAATATATATATACCCAGCTTGGCACCTTTGGTACCAGCAGCCAGGATTTCAGGACACATAGTGTATTAGGCAAATCTATTGTCAGAAATCTCTCCAAATTACTGAGGGGCAGTGATGTCAGTTGGAAGACTAAGGTGCGTCTGATTCATGACATAGACTTTTTCAGTCACTTGTACATCTGAGAGCTGGACAATGAATAAGGGTGACAAAGGAATTAATACCTTTGAGTTGTGATGGTGAAGAGTACTGAATATCCCATGGACTGTCAAAAGAACAAACGGATACGTCTTGGAAAAAGTGTAGCCAGAGTGTATCTTGGAGGCAAGGATGGCGAAATCTCATCTCATGTATTTTGGGCATGTTGCTAGGAGAGGCTATTCTTTGGAAAGAGTTATCATACTTGGAAACGTAGAGGGTCAGTGAAAGAGAGAAAGATCTTAGCAAGATGGACTTAAGTGTGTCGGAGATGATGGATGGCACAGGACAGGGCAGGGTTCAGATCTGCTGTTCATGGGGTTGCTAGGAGTTGTACTGCACTCAGTGCACCTAACACCACCCCCACTTGGAGCTAGTCTCTGTATGGCTGCTTTTGCTTCTGTTACTTGTTTAATCCTGCCAACAGCCTGTGATGGCAACAGAATCTCCATTTTACAGATGAAAAGTCTGAGATACAAAGTCTTTTTGCCCAGAGTCTCAGCAAGATGAATTGACACAATGACTACAACATTGAGATCAAACAGCAATAGCCAGCGAGGATGGCACAGGACCGAGCTATGAGAGGATGGCATAGGACCGAGCTGTGTTCCCTTCTGTCGCACCCGGGGTCACTGTGATTGGGGACCCACATGATGGCATCGAACAAGGACAAGCACAGGACCTCACGGCCACTCTGTGTCAGAGCCAAGATGCAAACCCAGGCCTCGTGCGCTCCAGAGTCCGGGCGACCCAGCCGTCAGAATGCCTCTGGACTCACAGTAAAGGGCCGTAAGGGAATGAGGACCAGTCCGGAATCATAGACCCTGAGTAGTTTCATCTCAGTGTTGGCCAATAAAGAGCTGTTATTGTTTCAGAAGCCATTGAGTCCTTTCCATCGACGCATGTACAACAGAGCGGAGCCCTGTCACAGTCACTGCTCTTGGAGCCACTGGGTCAGTCCGTTTCATTGAGGGTCTTCTTTTTTTCACAGACCCTCAGTTGAGGTCTTCAAAGTTCACATTAAAACTAACTGCAGTTTGGGAATTATCATTGTCACCTACGACGGAGTTAGGGGTTTCTTGGTATTGAAATTCAGGCTGTTATTGGGACTGGATTTTTTATGTGAGCACTGATGGCATGGTAGATAGACACCCCAAAAGGTGCTCTAGTGGTGCAGTGGAATATGCATTGACCTGCTTTTTTTGTTTTGTTTTGTTTTTTTCTTTTGTTTTTTTTGTTTTGTTTTTTTTTGACCTGCTTCTAAATGATGGGCAGACTGAACCACTGTCTGCTCCACAGGCAAAAGATAAGGCACTCAGTTGGTTTCCATAACGATTTAGAGTCTCAGAAACTCTGGGGCAGCTTGTTTCTGTTCTGTAGGGTCAGTGAGTTAGAATGGACTCAGTGACGGTAGATGTTCCGTCCTCTAGGTGGTTCTGAGACACATTCGACCCAGTGGCCGTGGGACCGATTGATGGATTGATGAATCAATTGATTATTGAGCTTGGTGAGGATGAGCTGGTTTTGCTGGGTACATTATAGATTTGACATACGTGATTGTGGTCTTGGCCTTGACACTTAAAATAGCCACATGATTATATGAAAGTACAGGTCTGAGTGTAGGTCCAAATATGGAGCTGGAACAAAATTAGAAATGCCATTTGAGAAGTAATTATGCCAGTGTGTGGGTGCCTGCCACATTGCTTGTAAAACTGAATAGAAGGATGAAAAGCATTTGTCGGTGGCCATTTTTCCACTGTACAAGAACTGTTTGTTTTTACTGCCTGTGAATATTCACAGTTAATTATCTGTGGCTCAGCGCTGTTTCAATTCATAAGGGGACTTTTTTACAGACTGTAAAATATGACTTTTGAATGAAATTGATTTTGACGAAGAAGATAATTTGTGACGGACACATTATTTTTGGTGGTGGCAGTATGTGCAGTCAAGTCCATTTCTAATTACACTGACCTTAGGTGGTACAGACAGAACTGCCTCACAGGATTTTATTGGCTTTAATCTCAGGAGATGGATTGACAGTAACTGCAGCAGTGGGTTTAAGCACAGGAGATTGTGAGGAGGGCACCGGATTGGCCTGGGTTTCAGTCTTCTCTGTAAGTCAATGGATCTCACAACAATCTTTACAGAAAGAAATCACCATAGTGACCCCGTGTGGTACAGAGTAGAACTGTACCTTATGGTTTTATTGAACTCTTTTGGTAACTATCTGAAACTGAGGAGGACCTGAAGCACTTGCTGCAGAAGGTCAGGGACTGCAGCCTTCAATATGGATTGAAGCTCAACATCAAGAAAACAGAATCTCACCACTGGGCCGATTGGCAGCATCATGATGGACAGTGAAGAGATTAAAATTGTTAACAGCATTAGTTTGCTTGGCTCCACAATCAACACTCTTGGTACCAGCAGCCAGGAAATCAAAAGAGGAATTGTGTTGGTAAAGTCTGCTGTCAGGGACATCTCCAGAGTACTGAAGAGCAATAGTGTCAGCCTGGAGACTTAAGGTGTGCCTGATCCAGGCCATACTCTTTGCAATTATGTGCTATGTATCAGAAAGCTAGACACTGACCAGGAATGATAGGAGGAGAATTGATGCCTTTGAGCTGTGGTGCTAGGGAACAGTATTAAATATACCGTGGACTGCTAAGAGAACAAAAATGTTCATCCTAGAGAGAATGAAACCACGCTACTCCTTGTAGGCAAGGATTCTGAAGCTTTGTCTGACACACTTCAGGTATGTTTCAAGGAGGGACATTAAGCTTGGGAGGGTGGAGGGGCAGTGCAAGACAAGATCCTTGATGAGATGATTTGACTCAGTGACAGGGGTAATGGGATAGGTGTGTCAGAGACAATAAAATTAGCACAGGATAGAGCAGGGTTCAGAGCTGTTGTCCATAGGGTCACTATGAGTCGCTGGTGACTTGACAGCACGTAACCAGAACAACATCTGATACCAGAGATGTAGAGAGAATCAGCATCCAGAAGTTGTAGAAAACAGATTAAGCAGTCTCACTTGAATTGGTTAATTTTTTTTCTTTTTATTTCCAGTTGGTGGTTTTATCTTTGTGAGTTGCAGTTTGCTTTCTGTTGTTGTGGTTGGTTGCTGTGGAGTCAAGCACGACTCACAGCGATCCTATAAACAAAAGAACTGAAGCCTTTCTAGAACTATCTTTTCTTATCAAAGTTCATAGTTTCCAGAGGCATGTTGTTTAGGAAGTGGACACCACTCCTGCAAAGACTTAAATATCTTTACTCTTGGACAGTGAAATAGCACCATTTCCCTGCCAGGTGGAGACATCAGCTGTTTGATTTCAAGATGCACTTAACTCCTGTTAGGGAGTTCTGGTGGCTTAATGGGAAGGAGTTGTGCTGTCAACCCCAAAGCACACAGTTCAGATCCACCAGCTGCTCCACAGAAGACTGGACTATCTTCCTGTCCTTCTCCTGTGGAGCAGCTGGTGGATTCGAACTGACGACAGTCTCCTCCTGTGCAGTTTACTACCTCTGAAAGCCTGGGCCAGTGCTGACTCTGGTACTCAGCAGTATCCCCAGTTGGCAGAGACAGTGTGTTTTGGCAGTTGAGCTTTCATGGTTCACATCCCACCTGTCTTATGACCCTTTCCCTACGTTCACCCAAATTTCCCCTGAAATATTTCAGCCTCCATTGGATGTTAGCATGACCATCTTTTAAAAGCATTGAGCCCTCAGGTTGTAGTAATGGTGCCTCTTAGAAAAGAGAAAATAAGGGCTAGGAGAGGGGCTGTTTGCTTTTTTAAGCCTGGAACACTTTCCCTATTTCAGATCCTAGGAAACTTGGCGAGTAGAGTATGCAGTGGTTAAGTGGTCAGCTGCTAACCAAAAATGTCAAGGGTTTGAACACACCAGCAGTTGTAGTTCCATAGGAGAAAGGCTTCATGGTCTGCTCCCATACAGAGTACAGTCTAGGAACCCTATGGGGCAGTTCCCCGTATGGCATGGGGTCACTGTGCGTCGGAATTGACTGAACAGCACACAGCAGCCCCATTTCAGAGAATGGTTGCTTCTTCAGGGAGTCCAGGTTTGTATGCCTATAAAATAGAGAATCTGATTCTGTTTTTAAGTTGATTATCTTTTGCTGGCTCCTGCTCTTCACTTAGTTACAGCCGTTGTTTTTGTCAGAACTGACCCATAGCTTAGCCTCCAAGTTTTCAGAGGCAGTATATTGCATGGGAGGAGATTTCCCATCTTGATTCCATGGAGCAGCTGGTGGATTTGAAACTTGTACCTTTGACCGAAGAATTAATGCCTTTAAATTGTGGTCTTGGAGAAGAGCACTGAATGACTCATGCGCTTCCAAAAGAACAAACAGATATGTCTTGGCAGAAACACAGCCAGAGTGCTCCTTGGAAACCCAGTTGGCAAACCTCTGTCTTTCATCTTTTGGACATGTTGTTAAGAGAGGCTGTTGTTTGGAAAGGGACATCATGCTTCAAAAGATGAAGTGTCAGCAAAAGAGGAAGATCCTGGACCAGACGGATTGACACGGTGACTGCAGCTATGGGCCCTAGTGTATCAGAGATGAGGATGGCAAAGGCTAGGCCAAGGTTCAGACCTGCATTCACAGGGTCACTGCGAGGCACCTAACAGCAACCTAGTAAGTTGCCAGAGGCCCTTGGTCACAATTAGGACATTTAAAGACCAGCAGTACAGCAAACACCTGGGCACTCACCGTGTGGCTTCACCACTCATTAGAATTTACCACGTTTGCTCTTTATAGATCTACTTTTTGTCTTGAATGATTGAAAGTCAATTATGGTGTAGACCTCAGAATGATCCTAAACCCAGTTGTTGCCGTTAATTCCTAAGACCTAGGTCATTCTCCTCCCTGACTGTAATTTCTCGTGTCATACCTGCGGACAGTGCAGTAATGCCATATCGTCTGTGATGTCAAGTCTAAATTCTTGTACAAAAAGATAGCTTTCATGACCATCTTTAAATAGAAATTGTACCCCTTTTAAATGTTGATCACCTTTCAGTAAATACTTTTTCTCCCCCTTGTTCATGACAGCTTTTTATCCTCCAAGAACACTAAGAAGAATGTCCCTGCATCAGTTTTTGCTCGAGCCAATCACCTGCCATGCCTGGAATCGGGATCGCACCCGTAAGCTTGCTGTATATTTCGTTGCCTTTCTAAGAGCCTTAGGGAGTTCTGGTGGCCAAGTGGTAAGAAGCCGTGCTACAATCCCAAAGGCACATGGTTCAGGAAAATCCACTAGCTTCTCCACAAGAGAAGGGTGGGCAGTCCCCAGCTGCGTCTGAAGACTCGCTGGAAGGCCAGTTCTGACCCAGCGGTACACAACAACAGTAACTAGAGACACAGTGGAGTAGATGTTTGCTGCTAGCAGAAAGGTTGGTGGTTCGATGCAGCAGCCACTCCACTGAAGCAGGAGGAGGCATTCTGCTCCTGGCCTGCTAACCCAACCAACCATTGCACAGGAAAAGACTTGGCAGTCCACTTCTCTAAGGATTTCCAGGCTCTGAGACCCTCAGGCCAACTCCACTCTGCCCTAGGAGGGCTGGAGTGAGTCGGAAGTGACTTAAGAAAGGAATGAGATTTTGGGCCCTTGCATTTCCATATTGGTTTTAGGATCAGCTTGTTGATTTCTGCAAAAAAAGCCAGCTGGAATTGTGAAAGAGATTGTCTTAAATGTGGTTGGGTTTTTTAAAGACGTCATCAAACAGGCTGATTCAGTCTTGTTTTCAAATGTGTATGTTACATGAACACGCACTGTACAGTTTACTGTTGGATGACTTGAAGACCTAGATGCGAGCCTGTTGGTTCTGAATTAGGTCAAACAGAAGACTGTCAGTTGGCGACTGTTTCACAGAACTTCAATGCTTAGTTTCTTACTGCTCCATCTAAAAATAGGCTGCTAGCTGTTTTCCATTTCTTTCTCTTAGGAGAACTAGTTCTCATCCTATTTAATAAAGCTAATGCTGTTGTGTGCTGTCGAATTGGAACCGACCCATAGCTGACCCTCCAGCAGATTTTCAGAGGAGATTGTCCACTTAGCTCCCACAGAGCAGCTGGTAGATTTGAACTGCTTACCTTTGCATTAGCAGTGCAGTCCTTAACACTAAGCCACCAGAACTGCCTAAAGCTGATGTAGTGAGTAGATTGTTGTCACTATCTTTGTGGCACATTACAGTTTGACCTTTATAACATTTTCTAACTTCATGTTGAGTTTGACTTTTGAAATCTAAATATACATCTTAGAAATTTAGGAAAATACGTTACTAGTCTGAAAACCCCCGGGAGGGTCTACTACAGGTTGGTTCCACCTCCGGGGTATACAAGAACAACAGTCTCTGAAAAAGAACTTAAAGTCTCGGGAATTTAGAGTTAGATATTTCTTTAGCACTACAGTTTCAAAGGGTTGCATATTTTGCTAAAAATGAATTTTAAAATTTGGTTTACCTTCAAACTAAAATTTGCGGTCCAAGTAGTAAGTAGTAAAGAGACTAAAAAGAATTCATAGGCAATGACTATCGGAAACAGCTTTGTCAAAACCATTGTTTTGTTTTTCTTTGTTCGGTTTGATTTCAAAACACTGTGAGTTTAGAGTAGTGAGAGAAGACCTTCACCCTGAAACCCATAGCGTCCCTTTTCAGCAGGAAGTAGCTAAGAGAATACGCCATCCCCTTTTCCTTATGAATCAGGGTGAAGTCTCTCTCAGGGAGGAGTGATAGGGAATGGCAAGGAACACACTGACAAAGGAGATTAATCAGAACTGGCTTTGACAAGCACTGTGGCAATTGGACAATTAAAACAGACATTGGGGAGGGGGGGAAGAAGAACAAACTGGGGATGAGGGTGGAGAAAACATTGCAACAATGAATGAATGAAAACCCAAAATCTCTAAATGTTCATTAAAACTAATAAAATTTAATTTAAAAAAAAACACTGAGGTATCTCCTTTGGGGGTCACAGTTCAAGTGCTAACTGTTCTGTCAATTTCTTTCTCTAGAGATTGCCCTGAGCCCCAATAATCATGAAGTCCACATCTACAAGAAGAATGGGAGCCAGTGGGTGAAAGCTCATGAGCTCAAGGAACACAACGGACACATCACAGGTAAAGGAAAACACCCGAGCTCCGCCTCCCAGGAGCACGCGTGGGTGTCAGTAATGAGCCTGACGGAATAACAAGCCCTTGTAACATCTGAAGCTGTGTGGCGGCAACTGCGTCGTCTTAGAAAATTCAAGAGGCCGGCCTAGAGGGATCCTCATTTTTCACCCTGGCAGTTTTCTCTTTTTTCAAAAAACCTCATTGCCATCAAGTTGAAGCCTGACTCTCCAGCAGGTTTTTGTCATTGCTATTATGTGCTATCGTGTCAGGATCAATGCATAGCCAAACCTACAGCAGATTTTAAAAGGCTATATATCACACAGACAGAAGTTACCCACCCTTCTTCCTCATAGCAGCTGGTGGATTTGAACCACCTGCCTCTGGGTTGGTATTAGAACTCCTTACCACTCGGCCACCAGAGCAGGCTTTTGGAGGCTGAAAATTGCCTGCCTTTCTCCCACGGAGCAGCTGGTGAATTTGAACCATCTGCCTTTAGGTTGAAAGCACAACTCACTACCCACTAGGCCACCAGAGCGCTGTTCTCTTCTGATGGTACAGAAAGCACTGTGCGTACCCTTGAAGACTAGAGAACTTTGATTAGGAGATGAGACAGGAAGGCGAAGACTAGATAACATGACAGCTGGGTGACAATCAAGCCAGACTGTTCCCAAGTGCTGAGGGAACACAGGCGCTGCCAGGGGTCCCTGTATGGTGATGTTAGGGGGAGGGAGACCTTTCCAAATACAGGCATACTCAGGCGGCAGCTTCAACACCCGTGTTCCTGCCACCCAGCCTTTACAAGTACCTTATTGTACACAAATAACACACACCTGCTGTGCTTATGTGCTGTCCTTGCACTCATTCTGTGGAGTATTTTTCACAAGTGCATGATAAGGAATTTTTTTACAGCAACATGTTGGGGGGAAAAGTTGGCTTGATTACACTTCAGAAAATATCTTAAAGAGGGCATGTTATCTGCATAAAGTTACTAATCTTTTTCCTGCATGCCTAGAGCCTTAATTAAGAAACAAAATATTACTCCAGACGATGGTCTAGCTTCCCTCTAATCACAGTCCTGAAGGCCACCTGTGATTTGGTCTGCCAGCCACCCAGTTCATTTTCAGTACTGTGACCTCCATCCCCTGCTTGTGGAACAGTTAAGCGCTCAGCTGTTAACTGAAAGATTGGTGGTTCAAACCCACAGGCGAAAGACCTTGCAATCTGTTCTGTAAAGATTATGCCTGGAAAGCCCTGTGGCGCAGGGGTGCTTTATTACGTGAGGTCTCTGAGAGTCGAAATTGACTCAGCAGCATCTGACAGCAGTGCAGCTTAATAAACAGCCTTGAAGACTGTGGGCTCGTGTCTTTAAATGTTACGTACATGCCATCACACCATTTGTCTTCTGCAACTCAATTTTGCTGCCATCTAGCTTCTGCAATCTCTCCACATTGGTTTATCTGCATCTGTTTTATTCCTTTGAACCACATCTTGGCATTACGTGCCTGGTTTTGTTGTTAGATACCATCAGGTCAACTAAGACTTGGCGCGCCCCTTAAACAACAGATGCGACTTCACCCTGTCCTGCGCACGCTCTCCGACACTTCAAGCCCCTGTGGTCACTGTGCTAATCCATTTTGCTGAGGGCCTGCCTTCCTTCGCCGATACCTCATTTGTCTTTCCTCAGTTGGGGCCTTTTAGGTTCTGGCTTAGTTTCTAGAGTTGCTGTAACAGAAATCCACAAGTGGGTGACTTTAGTAAATAGAAGTGTGTTCCTTGGTCGTCGCCGTTGTTATGGAGGTTAGATAGAAGTCCACGTTCTCAGCACCAGCGCTAGGAGGGGCTGTCTCTGTTGGCTTAGCATTTAGGAGGACAGCCCTCGCCTCCACTCAGCGTCCTTGGAGACCTTCCTGTATCCTGGCCTTCTGTGACGTGGCAGTTCCCAGCACAGGGCCCTGGCTCTCCTTTCATGGTGGTGCTGAGGACTCTCTTTCTCTGCTTCCTATTTCCTTTTAGCTCTTGTCAGGGACAAACTGCTCTTATGTCAGATCAGGGCTTGCAGCTGCCGCATTACATGCGGCATCCTGAGAATCGTAGCCCAGCCGAGTAAACACAGGGCTTAGGGAGAGGGCACACACAGTTCTGTTCCTGACAGGTGGTTTAAATCGTTACAGTGAGGTGCTAAGTTCAGCTTTCTGGATAGGTCTCTCTATGTGAGTGTCTGCATAGATAGACCCGCCAGCACACAGGGACAGGCATGGCCTTACCTGGTTGTCTTTGATCTTAACCATGAGAGTTCCCACTTTCCCCTGTTCCTCATATACTTGATATGGTCACACTTTGCCATTTTACCAGTCAGATGAGTGAAGGAGAGAGCTCTAGTGGTAAGGAGTTGTGTTGTCAATCCAAAGACTTGGGTTCAAATCCCTGAGCTGCTCCGTGGGAGAAAGATGGTCACTACCCTCCCATGCTCACTTGCCTCTGAAAACCCACTGGAGAATCAGTTGTGGGTCGATTCCCACTCTGCACGAGTGAAAGCTGATTCTCTCGATTACTTAGTTTCCTGATTACGAGGAGGGTTAGCCGTGTTTTTATGTTTATTAGCCATTCTTATTTTCTCTTGTGACTTGTCCTGTTCTGTGCTGCTAACAGTTTTCCCAGAGTTTCTGTCTTTTCCTTGTTAGACTTGAAAGCCTCTGGCTTTGAGGCAGATGGCCGAGTGAGTGTACATTCACTTTTGACGAGATGACCAAAGACTAGAGGGGTAGAGTGGACAGCAGACAGCGCTAAGGTTCAGTGAGTAGGAAGAGGTGGAAACGGAGAGCTTCTTTACAGCGGTCCTCAAAGCTGCGGGAGCCAGGTTTCTAGAGAGCCAGATTGTCTGCTTCAGAGTTAGGTCCCCTGTTGCTCTGAAACCTGTATTCACTGTGGATCTCTTCAGAAAGAGCTCACACGCTCTAGTTCTTTCTGAGCCACAAAGCCAAACCCACTGCCGTCAAGTCGACTCCAGCTCCTGCCCACTAGATAGGATAAGAGTAGACCTGCCTCTTGGGGTTTCGAAGGCCCAATGTTGACTGACACAGGCCACCGCCGCTCTCTACCACAGCACAGCTGGTGGGTTCCCGCTGCCAGCCTGATAGTCAGCGGCTAGTTCTTTAACCACGACGCCACCAGCCTTTGTAACTTTATTTAGAGGTGGAGTTGGGCTCAATCACTTAATCTAAGAATAACTTAGCCCGCTTGGCCCTCTGTGCCCTCCAGAAGCTATGTGTGTTTTCCCCAGTGGAAATGGCCACCAGCCCTCCCGGCTGGGACCAGCCATCGGTGTTTGACCCCAGTGAGCACCGGAGCAGGACCGATACTGGAGACATGGCTTCTCTGTGCCTGTGGCTTTCCTGTGACCTGCTCACTGTTGCACTTCAGTCTCTCTGCCAGTGCACATGACGGCCCACGAACCCAACTCCTGCTTTCACGTGGAATTTCAACAATAGGAAATACTCTGAGTTGAGGAAAGGTCAAGTTAAAAGACCAGAGAAGCAGCCAAAAATGTGAAATATTTACTTAGATCTTTTTTCTGCCCTATTTCTAGTCTCGTTCTAAGGCCTTTGTACTTGGGCCTGTTTTCTGTCCCAGATGCTCAGACATTTCTTTACATCTGGCAGAATCGTTCTTGAAAGAATCTAAATATAATTTTGTCAAGAGACCAAGGATCAGACACGTTTCCTCAGGAAAAATAGTGACCACAGGGAGAAAAACAATCTCGTGGAGCTTGGCAGAAGGAAAGACTAGACAAGTCAGTCTTACAGAGAAAAGCAGTCTGGCCACCGTTAAAGCCAGGAGCACTTCGGGTCTGGGGTTTGCTTGGTTTTCAGTTCACAGCCAGGCCTGTTTCTTTGCAGTGCACTTAACCCTTCCCTGTATTCGTCTGAATCCTAAACTAGATGTATCTCTTCATATTTCAATTAGTATTCTAAAAGATAAGAACTCTTTTTCACTTTCTAAATTATGTGTATTTTGTTAAAAATAGACACAGCAGAGCAAATGCCGTTCAGTTCCTGCCGGTCCAGTCAGTAACACGGGTCCTGTTTCTCAAGTTGGGCAGCTTTCTCAGCCTGCTTCTCGGAGTTGTGAACGCACTACCCCCAAAGTTTCCTGTCTGGTCCTTGGAGTCACTGTTGTCTGTTTGGTCCCTTCTGGACAGATCTCAGAAGAGTACAGTCCTCAAGGTGTGCTGATGAGGGCAGCACAGGACAGAATGGGGTCAGATCGTTGTTCATTGGGTCACTGTGAGTCATACTCAACCCAGCCTCATCTAGCCTCTCAAGACAGACCTTTGTTAGTAATTCACCTAAACAGTTTTGTTCTCAGAAGACTTCAGGGGCTATTTTTGGTGTAAGGTTGAAAAATTATCTCAGGGTAGTAGTTCAGGCGTTCATCTAAACTGTCTATAGAAAATCTTAATGAATTCTGTTCTATACTCTCCCCCTTTGGATCCGGGATCTTGTATAGACTCTTTGATTAAAATGTCAAGTAATAGTGGCTGGGCACTGTCCAGTTCTTCTGGTCTCATGGCAAAGGAAGCAGTTGTTGATAGGAGCAGTTAGCCATACGTTCTGTATCCTTCTCTTCATAACCCTTCAAAGCTCTGATACTCTAGGCAAATGCACATAAACATGAATCATGTGCTTTGAGTGACTGCTGGCAAGCTTTTAAGCCCCCAAAAAGTGAGCGAGGAGGTAGACTATTTCTACAGCAGTTAACTGGGATGTCCTGTGAAACTGACCCTGAACCTCCAAACCAAGGATCCAGATCCTCTGAGGTTTTAGATGACCTTTTGGGTTGCACTTTTATCTGCCAAATCAGAGGGTTGGAAAGTGAGGAAATACTCATGGTTTAGGAAATTCCAATGAGATTAGGGTTCATAGATAATACACGTGATTTAGAAAAAAGGAGAGGGGAAGTTGGCCTGCTGGGAGTATCTTTGGCAGAGGAGGGTCTGGGCGTAAAGAACAGGCAGGACTTCCCAGACTTACCTCCATATTGCTTTGAGATATTTGCCTCATAACAACATGTGAGTGTTGCTTCTGTAGTGAAAATAAAGTCTAATCAGTAAGAAAGAACAAGTTAAAGAGGGTAGTAACTTAAGCATGGGTAGGAAGAACGTTTTGTGTCCCCTGCAGTTACAAAGGACATCGTAAGACAGTTCTATTCTTGTAATAGAGAGAGGTGAAACCCCTGTCACAGGCGCCCTTACTCCCCAGGCCTGGATCTGAACTTATTAGCCCAGTGACTTGGATTTCAGCCTGATAGTAGATAGGCCTAGAAGGATCTGTGGAAACAGGAAACTTAGGGAGGAAGAGGGGCAGATGCTGTTACATTGTAGGAATTGTAATTCCTATCAGAAAGCAGATTGTGTATGCACTGAGTGGAAAACCAGTTTACTCTGTAAACTTTTACCTAAATCATAAATAAGAAAAGTTAAACAAAAGAAAGGAAGGAAACAGCTCTGGTCTCCCTTCCTTCATGAGGACCCCAGATCCAGCAACAGCAGAAGTCCAAAACAACTGTTTCACAGAACGATGTAAGCCATGGGACGGGTGGGACTCCAGAGAAGAGCACCGACTGTGCTAGTCCCGCCGGGCCAGGGCCCCCTCGCATGATGCGAGCTGACTGCACGAGGCTGACAGCATATCTCCTGCAGGCATTGACTGGGCACCCAAGAGCGACCGCATTGTCACCTGTGGGGCAGACCGCAATGCCTACGTCTGGAGCCAGAAGGATGGCGTCTGGAAGCCCACCCTGGTGATCCTGCGCATCAACCGGGCAGCCACATTCGTGAAGTGGTCCCCACTGGAGAACAAGTTCGCCGTGGGCAGCGGGGCACGGCTCATCTCCGTCTGCTACTTCGAGTCCGAAAACGACTGGTGAGCGATAGCGGAATGCTTTTTCATCTGTGATTCTGTAAAATGTCATGTTTGAACTGCTGTGTTCCAGGGCTAGGCCCAGGGCGAGACTTCCAGAGATCATGTTTTCCTGTCAACTGCAGTTTATTTTTCTCTGAAATTCCCCATTCTCTTCTCACATAGGTATTGAGCTGAGGCTCACGTCTTCCCATTTGTGATCAGGCGACTGTTTCCAAGTTCTCATTCACTGACTTGTTTGCTGTGTGAGGTGGAACATATGTTCATGTTCTAAGGGCTGACAACTAAATGATAAACGTGAAAGGCTCCCACTGCCCTAAGAAATCATTTTCTCTTACTACTGCCATCTCTGTGAAAGATCTAGACCTCTTACAGGTCACTGTGTTGTCCTTTCTGTAAAGTGTATTTGTTGATCAAGTGTATGACCTAGTAAAATCTTTTACCTCTTTAAACCACAGGAGTAAAAGCTCCCCAGAATCTTAGATTGTAACAATAATCAGATTGTTTTACTTTTTAAAACTAAATCCCTGTAGCCGAGCCAGTCAAAACTACAGATGTTTATTTTTATGTCAAAAAACTTCCTTTAAGAATTCCTTGCTTACATAGACAACAGCCCTTCGTCCGCCCACATGCAGCCGGGGCGGCCGGTCTCCTGCAGCGCTGGGCTGCATCTGCTCCCGCACCCGCCATACCCTTCCCATCATAAGAGCAGTGCACGCATTAATCTCTGTATTAGTGTCACCATTTGAGTTCGGCTGAAACAGTGCGAGGAGAGAACTCGCTTTGTTTGGTTTTGTAATATAATAAAACCTCGGGATTTTTGATTCTTTGCAAAGGAAGTCACAATTTACAAGATTGACTTATAAGTTCATGACATGCAGTCTTCCACTGAGCATGTGCAAAATGAGGCTGACAGTATGCTGCTGCTAAAACTCAGACGTCATTCGTTCATAAAAATATTGAAAAAAGGAAAATAATGAAATATTTTTGTACAAAAAAGGGTATTCCGTTAATATCGAAGTAACCTGAGAACAGAGTTATGGGAATGGAGCTCTGTCGTAAATAGGGGCATCTGCACATTAAAGCACCTCCAGTGGTTAACTTTTGGTCACCTCATTGGCCGTTCTTTTCTTTAAATTAAAGTTGCTGTTGTTCTTGTCGTCGTCATATGCTGTTAACTCGCCTGCGACTCATAGTGACTCTTTAGGGTAATTCAGATAGTACACCTTTTTCAAAATGGAGTTTTTAAAACTACTTCTAGGAAAAAGAGTCTATAAAACCTCACATTCAGAAAAAGCACTTGACCCACTTGTGAGTTCCTGTCCTCTTCAACACTCAGATCTCTGGACTTGACTAATTTTTAAACAGCCATTTTCAGGCAGTAGTTAAATTAGTTGAGACAAAATAATTACTATTTTGAGACATGACTAATCTTTTTTTTTTTTTTTAAGTGGAACTAGATAATCCATTAGAGGCTAATTCTAGATAAGAGATTCTGTTTCTTAGTTGTAATTTCTCTGGAGGGAAAAAGGAAATAACAGTTTGTAGCTTCATAGCAACTTGCAGAGCCGATTAAGCTGTGTCACAAACCAGAAAGCAGTGACCAAGCCCACTGCTGTGACGTCCGTCCCAGCTCCCTGCACCTCTGCAGGTCAGAGCAGAACTTCCCCACGGGGTTCCCACACCTAGAAATCCGTATGGGAGGAAACCGCCTCGTTTTCTTCTGTGGAGCTGCTGACGCGTTTAAATTCCCAACCTTGCAGTTAGGAGCCCTTTAATTAACCCCAAATGAACTAACAAATCACTGGATGTTTATTATACAAATTCCAGCCACTCGAAACCTCAAACCTCCCTTTTTCTCTCAAAAGCTAAAGCTCCCTGTCATCTGAAAGTTCGCAGGGCAGTGCCAGAGTGCACCCACCGGTTTGTTTATGAATGAGGCGCCTCTGGTTACTGGGAGGGCTCAGGATCGTGGATCTGATGAGAATGTCAGAGCTGAAAGACAGAAGGCCTGCCCGTCATTCTTCCTCTCTGTCCTCTCACTGGTGTCACGGGGCAGCCGGCGCTGGAGTGGAGACACTAACGTGGCTTTTCCCCTCACATAGGTGGGTCAGCAAGCACATTAAGAAGCCCATCCGCTCCACGGTCCTCAGCTTGGACTGGCATCCCAACAACGTTCTGCTGGCGGCAGGCTCCTGCGACTTCAAGTGCAGGTGAGAGTGGGTGGGAAGGGTAGGTGGGCTCGGCCAGCTTCCAGCCAAGGTACGGAGGCCGTTCTGTTCCCAGGGTGCAGTGCTAGCCCTGTGTGGTACTCAGGTCACGGCCACCTGTGCTCTAGAAAGGAGCTAACACAGGTGCATGGTCACTCGGGCAGAAAGAAGTGGACTTGGAGGTGGAATAGTGGGGCTTCCGGTGCAGGAGCCAGTGAACTGTCCCCCAGCAGAGTATCAGTGGTGTGGACAGCAGAGCTAGCGGCTCGGGCATTCTCTCTGCTCACGTTCTTTCTCTCCCCCCACATCTTTCCTCCTCCTCCTCCTCCCCTTTTCCTCCTGTCCCTCTCGACGACAGTATTATTTCTCATTTACTGTCCCAGGCAGCAGACTCTGCAGATTCTAGGGAGGAAAAAAACCCCAAAGATCAACAAAACCTATCTCAACCACACATTTCTGCTCATTGTTTCCCCAAAGAAATAAGCTGGGTTAGAGAATTTCCAAAATTCTCCTTGAATTTCCTTGAATCTGTTATGGTTCCTAATCACCCTAGAGAACAGAGCTGTCCTAGGAGGTTTCCAGGGCTGGAACCTTTACGGAGCAGGCGGCCTCTTCTTTTCGCAGCCGTGTCATTAGAACCGCTGACCTCTTGGCTAGGTGCTGAATGCTTGCTTAAACACTAACCGCCAAGGGCTCTTAGTAATACCCACGGGTTAAACAAAATAAACGAGTGTGGGTGTTTGGCTTCAGGGATGGGAGTGCCATGGAATTGAGGCAGACAATTTGTTCTCAAAACCAGGTCATTCCTGGGAGATGGTGGTAATTAAGTTAAACTCATGCAGAGAAATTGTCCTGTGACAGCGTAAGGGCAGAAGCTTTCTCCGGAGGCCGGCTCAGCAGGAGTCGAGGGGGGTGTGTTCTAGTTCCCTGGGAGACACAGCGAGATGGTGCCCTAGAGAGCTCTGAGAAGCTGGGTGTGAATATAGGCTACAGTTCCTTTTGCCCTCTTTTCCATTTCAACACATACGTGTTTCTCAGACTCCCGGCCCAGTGGGTGAGGGTTGGTGCCAGCTTCACCCCTGGATTACGTGGCTGAGAACAACCAGCTCTCTTGGCCTCTTGTGTCTAAAGATACAGCCACTGCAGTGCTGACTTCAGACACCACGGCTCCAGCTTCACTTCATCCAGTGGACAGATACACTCATTGTGGTCATGGGCCAGCCCCGTCCAGTGTCCCCACAGTTGTCAGGGAGCAGATGCCCAACCCACGGCCATCAAGTCCACTGTAACCAAGAGCAGCCTCGCTCATCGGGGTCAACTGCCCCGCGGGGCTCGGTCTCTACAGCAGCAGACTGTCGCCTCTTTCTCTTGTGGAGCAGCCGGTGCGTTCAGACTGCCCTCTTCCAGTTCGCAGCCAGAAGCTTTGACCACAGCACCACCAAGACTACGAACATCTGCCCACAGAGCCCCCAGCTGCATGCAAGGCCCTTCTTCACCTCAGAAAGACTGGACAGTGGTCTGTGGGTCAGGGAGACCTAGCCCTTGCCCTCGCCCTCAACCCCCCAGGGAACACCTGTCCATCTCTCACTGGTACTTTCCTTGCCTCTCTTTGGTCATCTCTTCTTCCTTTAAACAAGTGAGACTTGTTGTGGGTACAAACCGTTTTCCTCCCTTCTGCCATTAGAGGAGCCTGCCCTGGAGAAGGACGTGATGCTTTAGTAGAGAGTCAGTGAAAAAGAGTGACACGGTGGCTGCCGCAGTGTGCTCCCAACAGAGCAAGACCACGAGGGCGGCGCAGGGCTGGGCAGTGCTTTGTGCACGAGGCGGCCAGAAGTCAGCTGGCTCGAAGGCATCTGACAGCCACTGGATTGGTGGCTTTCTTGAGTAATTGCTGAGATTGCTCATGTGGTAGACAAGAAAGAGCATCATGGAATTTGCCAAAGAGGCTGCAGCTGGAGTGCTCTTTGGAGACAGAATGATGAGGCTTTGCCTCACATAGTTGGTGCATGTTGTTAGGAAGGACTATACCGTGGAGAGAAACATGATGCTGGGAGGGTGGAGGGTCGGCGAAGGAGAAGAAAACCCTCAACCAGGTGGACTGACACAGTGACTGCTGCAACAGGCTCTTCTGTGTCAGGACGTGTGAAGATGGCACAGGATAGGACAGGGTTCAGATCTTTTGTTCATGGGGTCTCTGTGGGTCATACTCCACTCAACTCAACGGCACATATAACAACATGGACAAAGGAGGGGTATGGCAGCAAAGGTCACCCCTAGAATGGTCACGCCTATAAGGGAAGGGCTTTGTGTTCACTTCAAGAGCTACATATCTAGAGCAGTCCCTGTCACATAGTAGGACCTTCATAAAGATCTGTAACTGAGTATAGTTTGGCCAGTAGGCAAGCCGTGGATGGATGGATGGATGGGTGGATGGGTGGATGGATGGATGGATGGATGGATGGATGGATGGATGGATGGATGGCTGGCTAGGATGTTTGTGTGTCTGCATTTGTCTGCCGTGTTTGGGTTTGGGAAGTCAGCTTTCTAATTTCTGGGACTCTGGTGGTCACTGCCTGGATCTTTTACTCAAAATGTGCATCCCTTTTCCTCACCTTGACTGTAGGGTGTTTTCCGCCTACATTAAAGAAGTGGATGAAAAGCCAGCCAGTACACCATGGGGCAGCAAGATGCCTTTTGGCCAGCTGATGTCCGAGTTTGGTGGCAGTGGCACGGGCGGCTGGGTCCACGGTGTCAGCTTCTCCGCCAGCGGGAGCCGCCTGGCCTGGGTCAGCCACGACAGCACCGTATCCGTAGCCGATGCCTCCAAAAGCGTGCAGTGAGTACTTGCTGTGTCTGGTGGAGTGGGGAGAGGGCTAGCCACCAGCTGGAGGGAGGCGACTGCATCCTTCCCATGGTGCCAGACAGCTCAGCATGTTTTACTGTGCATCTCAGAGCCTGCATTTTTACCACGTTGAAGGTCTGGGGCCACCGTGCATCGGTCAAGTCTGTCATTTTCCCAACAGCTCGTGCTCATTTCCGCTCTGTCCCATCTTGGTCATTTTCAGACATTCCTATCATATTCACACTCATCGACTGTAGTGTGTTGTAAACATCATTTCTGTGCGCACTGGGAAGCAAAATATGGGCAGGAAACCTTTCTTATAATATTCCCTTTATTGAAGTGCTCTGGAACCTAAACTCACACTGTCTCTTTAGTTTGCAGTTTATTTTTGGTCTTCAAATAAACAGCAAATCTACAGAGGCCACCCATGAGGTGACAGCAGCACATTTAAAGAGCCCATTGGAGGATGTTTAAGAGCTGGGTCTTCATTCTAGAAGCTCTTCCTTATGCAGTGCTGCCCGTGGTTCCTTTGAGGAACACTCCTGGTTTGCTCCAGGCCCCACCTTTCGTGGAGGGGTTTTGGTCTGTGCACAGTGACCCCTTCACCTAAGACTCCCTTGGTGCCCTTCCCCTGGTGCACTCTGCAGCTTCCCCACGTGAGCGCATGCCACCAGCCTAGAGGAAGGGCATCCATGTCCTCATCAGGGTTAATATGCACTAGTTTCTGTGTTGGGAAAGAGAGAGGGACGTGGGGATCCTTTATTCTATCCGGGTGATGGCTTCTCCACTGACCGCTGAGGGTGACTCGGGCACACATGTTCTGAGCCCTGTCGGCCGTGGTCCAGAGCCAGGTACGGCGGCAGCACAGTGTGGAGCTTCACAGATGGTTGTTTTTCCCTTATTTTCTTAAAATTTTTATGATTATGAACAACAACATGATTTTGTTGCTTTAAAAAAAAGCCATCCCCTGTTTTATATTGTGTCATTTTCTAGAAGATTTCTATGCACATAAACACTTAACCTGTCTTTGCATTTTGATACAGGTGGGCTTATGCTGTTAAATTCTGTACAATAATTTTCCCTTTGTCATTGAGTAGTATTTTCTCCCAAGGAGAGTATAATGGGTTTGAACCACCAGCCTTTGGCTTAGCAACAATGTACTTTACTGACTGCCACCATAGTAAGCTTGTAAAAGGTTTTATTTACAGAGCTGTATCTACTTTTCTTGTAATTGATTATTTGACTTTTCCAAGACTCCCAGTAGGATTACATCCTCTACCCGTTCCCCTCTCATCCATGCATATTCATGAAAGCCAGGTTTACGACCAGGAGCAGCTTGTGGTGAGGTACTCACGCTCCACCTCAGCCCAGCTTTAATAAGAGGGCTCCTGAAACATGGAGACCTGGCTTTCAAAACATCATCTCTTGCATCAACCAAGTTTCCCTGCCTTGTGTGTGACCTCTGCCAGATAATCTACGGGCAGCCCCCTGCTTATGACGCAGGCAAGTGTGACAGACTGCACTTCCAGCCCCCGGGTCTGCGCGGCTTCGTATTTCATTGTCTGGTTAGAGGCATGCACTGTAGCTGGTACTGCAGTGTGGAGAGAGAGTGCGTGTGTGTGTATATATACACACACAGATATACATAGAGAGAGAGAGAAATTGATTTATTGCAGCAAGTGTTTGCTAATGTGAAAATAAATGTGAGATTTATACAGATACTGATAATAACAGGCAGTAATATGGGGGAGAAGCTATTTGTTTTCTGTCAGAGCCCACCGGGAGCAGAACCCCATCATCAGTCAGGGACAGCCTGCATACTTATGTGTGCATACGTGTGTTATCTATGCATCTATGCCCATCAGTGTAGGAGCTCCTGGATGGCTGCGTCTTGCTCATCCAGTAGGCCCATTGCCGGCCTGATGACAGAGCCTGGGCTCTCGGTGGGCTCTCTCTGCCCACATGGTCCCAGGCAGTGTCTGTCTCAGTAGATGGGAGGGAGCTCAAGGGAGGGGACAGCAGAGGGCACTCAGTCCTAAGTGACCATGACAGGACTCAAAGAAGAGGGAGGAGAAGCCATGTGAGTCTGAAGTGGGCTAGGAAGGCTTCCTGGAGATGTCAGCCAGCTACGGTGGTGGAGACACACTGGGGTAGAGGGACAGGGGCAGAGAAGGGAAGGAAACGACCAGGGCCCTGCGGCAGGGGTGGGCGGCTCGGGGAGCATTTCTGGCCTCTGTCTGGAGTCCCCCCAGGCTGTCCATACTTGAGATTCCTCAAAGCCCAGTTCCTGGGGCACCCTTTCAGCAGGCCTGCCGATTCTGTTACAGACGCCCCTGTAAGAATGGGCCCTTTGTCAGCCCTGCGCTAACAAGTGTTCTTGTGTTCAGGGTCTCCACTCTGAAGACGGAGTTCCTGCCCCTCCTGAGCGTGTCATTTGTGTCGGAGAACAGCGTCGTGGCTGCTGTGAGTGCCCCTCCATGTCCCCCCAGGGCACTGAGCAGGACACTGGCGGAACAAGGCGTGCTCTGTGGCGCCAGGACAAAGCTCACCAGCCTTGGAGGGTCACAGAACAGGCTTTTGAGAGAATGAGAGATGCCCATGGGTGGGCGGGTGGCGGGCACTGGTTCCAGAGTGACTGGGCTTTTGTTCTAGGGTCATGACTGCTGCCCAATGCTCTTCAACTATGACGACCGTGGCTGCTTGACCTTCGTCTCCAAACTGGACATTCCGAAACAGAGCATCCAGCGCAACATGTCGGCCATGGAACGCTTCCGCAACATGGACAAGCGGGCCACCACCGAGGACCGCAACACGGCTTTGGAGACGCTGCACCAGAATAGCATCACGTAGGTGCATGTGCTCCCAGGGAGGACGGTCAGGTCACCAGGACACCCGTCCTCCCTGGGCCCCTGAAATCTGCCAGTGCTGCAGGCCAGACACCCTTCCAGGAAAGAGAACAACGAGGCATCTGCATCCCCAAGGGTGGCAGGGAAGCACTGCCTGGCCTTTCTTCTACTCTCGGAGTATGGCTGGCACAGACCCCAAAACAGGGATGTATGCCCCTTTACGGGCCAGTAGGCTATGTAGCCAGTGAGTATGGCCTCTCCTAGCGTTCCCTGTCTCAGGCCCCCACCCAGAATGGGAAGAGACCCGCTGATCTGGAAGAAATGCTGTGGATTTTTAAAAATACTTGAAATAATCATGCTCAAAGTTAGGTCCCATAGGACTTTCTTGTTTTGATGAGACCTTGTATGTTGAGAAATGTGTATTGTGCTTGTGGCAGTAGGAGTAACGGAGATGAATAGAGATGTTTGAGGGAATTATTTCGAGATGGAGATTGGGCGTCTCCTGATGTCCTTGAGGTGATATTTCACTTTCCGTTAGTGTGGTTAAGGTTGAAAGGGTTCCACACACTTTTCGTATGTCATGCAGTAATACTGTTTCTTCTCTCACCATTTAAAGATCTAAAAAACACCCTTAGCTCACTTCTGTACCAAAACTCGCACTAGGTGACGAATCATATACAGGGAAAGGTACTGAGGAGATATTCCGCCAAGACGACGTTCAAATGGTCCGTATTTCCAAACACCAGACAGGCAATCAAAACCACAGCGAGATCTTGCACTCCCACCAGCTACCTGCATGAATATGATATTACTAGAAATTTCCATATTCTCTTGGATCACCTTTGGGAATAGGGACAAATACGAATCTTTTCAGTCAGTCAGCCAGGAAGCTGTCCTCCAAATTTCCTGGTATCAGCTGATGAACACACCGAGGGCTGTATCTGTTAGTTGAAACATGTCAGTTGGTATTCCATCCATTTTTTGGGTCTTATTTTTGGCCAGCGCCTTCAGTTCAACTTGAACTTCACCCTTCATTATTACTGGCTCATGTTTGTAGAGAACTGCCAGAAGTTCAAGCTGAGTTTAGAAGAGACCACGTCAGAGATACCATTGCAGTTACCAGATTCTGCCTAAAAGCAGAAAATACAATAATGCCTATTTGTGTTTTATTGACTATTGACTGCAAAAGCACTTAACTGTGTGGATAAATAATGGTTAACATTGGAAAGAACAGGAATCCCAGAACACTTTAATTGCACTCATGCAAAACCTTTAACTAGGTCGAGAAGCTATTGTCCAAATGATGCGAGGGAACACTGCATGGTTTAAAATCAGGAACAATGTGCATCACGGTTGTAGCCTTCCTCCATGCCTATTCAGTCTGTATGCTGAGCAAATAATTCATGGCATCTGGATAGAAGGAAGTCTTAACCAACAACCTGTGGTATGCAGCCTTGCTTGCTGAAAGTGATGAGGATACAAAATACTTGCTGCAGAAGATCAAGGACTGCAGACGTCGGTATAGATCACATCTCAACGTCAAGAAAAGAAAGTCGTACCCATAGGACCAACAGTCAGTATTACGATAGATGGAGAAAGGACTGAAGCTGTCAGTAATTGCATCTTGCTTGGATCAGTAATCCACACCTTTGATACCAGCAGTCAGGAAATCAGGATTGCATATCGCATAAGGCAAATCTGCTCTCAGGGACCTCTCCAAAATGCTGGATGTCACTTTGAAGACTAAGGTGTGCCTGATTTCGGCCATGGTCTTCTCAGTCGCTTGCTGTGCATTAGAGAGCCTGACAGTGAATAAGGACGACAGAAGAATTATTGATGCCTCTGAGTTGTGGCATTGGAGAATAGTACTGACTATCCCATGGACTTCCGCATAAACAACGGATCTGTCTTGGAAAAAGTGCATCCAGAGTGGACCTTGGAGGCAAAGATGGTAAAGCTTCATTTTCCATACTTTGAACGTGAAGCTAGGCAAGGCTGTTCCATGCAAAGATGTCGTGCTTGAAAAGGTGGCGTGTCAGTGAAGGACAGAAAGACTGCAGTGAGACCGATTGACAGTGACGTCGGTGATGGGCTCTAGTGTGTCAGAGATGAGGGGGTTGATCCAGAATAAGACAGGGTCAGGGTGGGCTGTTGATAGGGTCGCCGTGAGTCACTCAGCAGCACCTAACAGCAGCTAACCGGCTCTCTAACCTGCCACCAGCAAGCTGACTGTAATTCTTGGCAACCCTCTCGTGGGTTCCAGAGGTGGTAAATCTTTATGAGAGGAGCTGCCTGTTTTTCTCCCGCCAAAGTTCATGGATTCAAACTTCTGACCCTTTTGTTAGGAGCCCCGCTCATAGCACACTGTATCCTTCCAGTCATTGCTGTGATCCTACCCAGTCCCTGTCCCCTGACCATTGGCAGGCTGTGTGGTCTGCAATATTCTGCTTTTCCAGATCACCCTAGTTAGCACTCGGCTAAGGTCAGTCGTTCAGACCTGCCAGCCAGCCCGTGGGAGGAACCTGTGGCCACCTGCTTCTACGAAGATTACAACTTGGAAACCCCAAGGGGTAGTTTGTGCTTTAGAGTCACTGTGGTCTGAATTGATTTGATGTTAATGAGTCCTTTGAGTTCTTCTCCCCTTCCCAGTCTTTCCTGTTCTTGGCTTGCCGTAATAAAATCTCTTTGGCTTCTTCCTGATGCTGCCTCAGCTGCTGGGACACTGAACATTCAGAGTTGACAGATAATCAGTTTCCTTATAGTGCTGTGCCCTGGTGAGCTGGAGGACTGGGGGTCACCGCTGCCGCCACCTCACGCTCTCGCTCCTCCTCTTTTCAGTCAGGTGTCCATTTATGAGGTGGACAAGCAAGACTGTCGTAAATTCTGCACCACTGGCATCGATGGAGCCATGACAATTTGGGATTTCAAGGTACGTTCCACCCTTAAATCTGGTTTGTGTTAAAGCGCTCCCTGAGAGAAACAAACAAAAGCACCATTTTTTTTGGAACATCATAAATAGAAGGTCAAAGATTGTGGCTTTTTAAAAAATCTGATCATGATTAGCAAGCGGAAACCATACCTTCTCAGTGAGATGGACTGCATGTCCCCTTCCCACTGAGGGTAACACCGAGGGCCTTTTGGAGAGCAGGCCCAGTGTTGGACGCCACCCCAAGTTTAATTCTGTAGACAGTTCTATAGTTTCCGCTAATTAACATTCACCAAATGCCTGCTCGTGGAACCCTGGTGGCGTTGCAGGTTAAGCACTAGGCTATTACTGAAAGGTCAGAGGTTTGAACCCACCAGCCGTTTCCTGGGGAAAGAGGAGGATGTTTGCTCCCATGAAGATTTACAGCCTTGGGAACGCTGTAGGTGGTTCTGCCTGGCCTGGAGGGTCAGTCTATGTGGGGTGTTGGTTTGGTCTGAAGTGCCTGCATGTGCATCTCAGCTCCCTAGTGGATTAAGCGTAGGGCTGCTAAATGAAGGGTAAGCAGTTCAAATCCACCAGCCCCTCTAAAGAAAAAGTGAAGCAGTTGCTTCTGTAAAGATGAACAGCTTTAGGGCAGGACCCTGACTCCGGGGTTGCTGTGGGTTGGAAGCCCCTCGGCTCTGCCTGTGGCTGCTGGTGTGGGCAGTTCCAGCAGCAGTGATGGGAAGTCTTCCTCACACGGGCCGGCTCAGCGCCTTACTTCCTTGATCCTTCTCTCCGTTTATGCTCAGACACTAGGAAGGCAGACGGAGGCTGGCGGCCCAGTGTGTCTGCCTCTGAGCACTGGCCCCGTGGAGGGCGCCGGCCGGTGGGAGGTCCCTGCCCCTTGAATCCTTAGAGTCTGGTCAGGAGAGGACATACATGATAGGATGTGCCACTCCCCCGAGGACTGCAGGGAAACCTGGGGACAGAGTGCATAGACCTGCAGGGGCCACAGGGGGCAGGTGCTGGGAGAGCTAGTCAGAGAGGTGGGGCAGAGCCTTGTGGGCTGGAGGCTGCACCTCAACCAGCTGGGCTGGGTAGTGTGTGGGGTGGGGTGGGTGGAATGGGGCAGTGTTTGGTTTAGTGTGGTGTGGTGTGATATGGACGTGATGTATGGGGTGGATGTGATGTGGGGTGGGGTGGGGTGGCAGGGTGGGGTGAGGCAGTGTTGGTTCACTGTAGTGTGGTGTGCCTGTGGTATGGGTGTGATGTGTGGGGTGGTTGTGGTATGGCTGTGATGTGGTGTGGTATAGGGGGTAGGGTAGGGTGGGGTGGAATGGGGCAGTGTTTGGTTCAACATGGTGGGGTGGGTGGGGTTTGGTGTGGTGTGTATGGGGTGGTAGCATTCGGTGTTTGGTGGTAGCATTCGGTGTGTGGTGAGATGAGGCCTGGGGCCCATGGTCTGCTGTGTGTTAGAGGGCAGTGCTATGAGGCAGTGACGCGGTGGGCAGCCCACAGTAACACTCTGCATCTCCGCCTCCTCCAGACCTTGGAGTCTTCCATCCAGGGCCTCCGAATAATGTGAAGCTGAGCAAACCTCGGAGACTGAGCCAGCGTGACCAGCTGCAGCTGCCTCCCCGCCCGAAACACTGAAAACACAACCGTGCAGATGCTCCCGTGTGTGTGCGTGTGTGATGTGTGTGAGAATAGAATTGTGAAAGTGTTGATATTTTAAAAGCAGCAAAGATTTATCCCCCTGGCCTGTTTGATTCCATTTTTGACCAAAGCTTCTCTTTAAACAATTGATATTGGAAAATTGCCATACTGACCTAAAGGAAGGGGGCAGGTATGTAAATCGTCTGCTAGAAAATTGAATAAAATTGCGAAATGTGATTTTTGTTTCGTTTCCTTATACTGTTTCCATTATTAGTAGAAAAATATGGCTAAGTGATTATAAAATTATTAGAGAAACACACTATGCGTTTTTTACCTCTTGGGAAAGCAAATCTGCTTATGTTGCTGGTTGCTTAAATTGTACCACCCTGGGCGGCCTGGGCAGCACCCAGCTGCTGGCCACATAGTGTCCACCAGCTCAGCCGAAGGTCCACCCAGAGGCTCCTTGGAAGAAAGACCTGGTGATCTGCTTAAAAAAAAATGCAGCTGTTAAAATCCTACACACAGGTCATCATGAGTTGGATTCTACGGTTTCGAGACACTCTAATTAAACCAGACCCACCTCTGTCGAGGCTCTGCCAACCCACAAGCACCCTATAGGACGACAGAGAACTGCCCATGGTTCCCAAGACGGTAAATCTCTCATTGTTCTCCTTCAGAATAGCTGGTGGGCTTGAACCATCAACCTTTCAATTCCCCACCCAACACTTAGTACCACCATGGGAACTGTGTGTGGGCCGCCCCTGGATTCTGTTCTCCAAGGCCTGTATCCCCAGCAGGGCAGCCTCTGTGACAGTGCCCTCCTCCTCCAGGGCGCGCTGGCAGGGGGACACCGATCCTGGTTGAGAGGCTCTTGTGCCCAAACCACATAGTGACAGGTCCAAACACAGAAGGAAATGGATAGATTCAGACCACCAGGCAACACATGACAGTGCACCACCAAGCATCCTCAGACAGACAAAAGCACAGTATGATCCACCCAGGTCCCCACAGGTCTCACCCTGAGTTTGACCAGAGGCCAGTCAGGGCCACCAGCATACTGAGGAGGCCTCAGCCTGCCCCTACTGGTGGTTGAGTGTAGGGCTGGTCACAGCACTCGGGTGGGGTGGTGGCATTGGAATTGCTGGGAGGGACCCCTCCATTGGACAATACCTGATGAGGTCTCCTTGTAGGCCTGCATCCCACAGTCGAGGTGACATGTAGAGCCACTTTGAGATAGGGGAGAGCAGTATGTACCAGTGTTCCCCCTTCTGGAGCCTGGGAAGTATGCTCCAGGCTCAGCTGGGGCTGTGGCCACCTCTCTTTCCCATCTAACCCAAACCCCCCAGCTGTTGTCAGGTGGCCATTCAGCAAAGGGACTCTTTGCCCCATTCTGGCCAATAAGATAAAGGAGTGGGTGGTGAGGGTGCATGGGAAAGGCTTCCCTCCCGGGCACGCCCACTGCTTCCCTATGTTTGAGGTGCCTGGAGCTTGGCCACCATTTGGGGATCGGGAAGCAAAAATGTTACCACAGCAGAAAGATAGAACCTTGATGGCCTGTTACCCTGGACCGAGGAGCCCTGGGGGCAAGTGCTTAAAGTGCTCAGCTGCTGACTGGATGGTTTGAACCCACCAGCTACTCTGCAGGACAGAAGTGAGGCAATGTGCCAAATGGTTCTCACTCAGTGACCCTCTGCCAAATAGAATGAAACAGCGCTTGGCCCTGCCGACCCCATCCTTTGAAAAGCAAGTCTGGTGTCCTCCAGGGACAGGTCTGTCCTGATCACAAGTCCAGCGTAAGTGAGCTTTTGCCTGTATTTCTAAGCCCAGGAAAAGTGTACTCTCCACCAATGCCATAAAGATTTACAGCCTTGAAGCGAACAGTTCCACCCTGTCCTTCAGGGTCTCTGTAAGTCCAGGACTCAAAGGCCACAGGGAGCTTGCCTGTCTCTGCCCACCCCTAGCTGGAGGCGAGGCCAGGCCTTGTGGCCCCAGGGGTGGACAGGGATTCTTGAAACCTGAGAATGCAGAGAAGCAGGAAGGGCATCTTCATCCCAGGCTTCCAAGAAGAAGCTGAAAGCTCTAAATTGTTCTGGGAACTCCCAGTGCCCCAAAGACATCGGCTGTGCCCAGGCCGCTCACCACTCCACTCCCTCCATTTAATGGTCTACTTAAGACTTTTCCCAAGGGGGAGCCTTCCCATAATGCCTCCATCGATTGACTTCCAGTGTGGGGCAAGTGTTCCCCATCCAAGGGTCACCCCACTGCTCTAGTTAGGGCCTGGATCCTGGGAGGGGGGTGATGGGAAGTGGTTGTTACAACTGGGGAAACCGAGGCCCTGCAGCACCAGCGACAGATGGCCTGGAAGCTGTGGAGCCTATGGGAAGCGGCCGAGGCGGCAAGGGAGCAGGACTTCATGGAGCCAAGTGGCCAGTGATGAGGCCACGTCATCCAAGACCAGTTTCAGGTCTCTGAAGGACATCCTTGCTGCTCCCCCGCCCCAATTTACAGGAGTTAAGGGGCTCACGCCCACTGCTGTCTACGGAATTAGCCCTGAAATCATAGCTTGCGTGGGGTTCTTCCCCTGAAGCCACTGGTGGTGAGGACGCTGGGTTGGGGAGGGCTGGACCCGGCTCAGGACGAGAAGCGAGAAGTCCCCGTGAGGCTGCGCTCCAGCTTGCTCGACCTCCAGCCAGGGCTGGATGGCTCTGGGAGGTTGAAGGGTGCGCTCTGCTCGGGCCGCCCCCCGACCCCACCCCCAGGCTCTTGTCCCGTTAATACTCAGGTAGCCACCCTCTGTCCCAGCCTCAGTTTCCCCACCACTAACAGGAAGATTCCTCGAGCTGCCCTGGGACTGACTAAGCCTGACTGCGCTCCGGCGCCCGGGGTGAGGGCTGGGCAGGGCGGGGTGCTGGCCGCTGTCCCCGCCTTGTCCCCGCCCCGGGCCCGCCCCCGCCCACGAGGAAGTGGCCGAGGCTGCGCGGGTCCCAGAGCCGGTTCGGCGCGTCGACTGCCCAGAGTCCGCGGCCGGAGCGCCCGCAGGTGAGGGCGCGGGGACCCGAGATGGGGATCGAGGGGGCACCTCTGCAGGGCAAAGGGCGGGGCGAGGACAGGAGCCCCCAGGAGACAAGGGGACACGGGGGCGGGGGCCGTCCCCTGGAGGTGAAAGGGGCCGGAAGGCTCCCAGCGGGGCCGGGGCTCCTAAAGGAGAGGACCTGGGGGACCCCAGAACCCTAAAGGGCTGTCTGGAGTAGGGGGGCCGACGACAAGGAGCCCCGGAAGGCGCGGGGCGGGGCATCGCCTTTAGGTAAAGGGCTTCGGAACCAGGGAGGGGGCTTCAGGGAAAGGCCAGGGGGGTCGGGGCAGAGGGCTCCGAGACCAGAGGGGTACGGGGACCCCCAGAAAGTGAGGAGAGGGGACGGGGCGGGGACAGGGAGCCCTAGGAGGCGGGAGAGGGCTGTGTTGTCCGAGGGGAGAGGCTGGGGCCCGAGGGGTCGCGCGGAGTGCCCGGGGTTGTGGGGCGAGGGCTGGAGGGGCCGCGTTGGCAAGGCTCCTGGCCCGGAGCCCCGGCGCCCCACTCGGCCTGCACGCGGCCCCCCGTTACTTGGGACCAGGCGGGCCCACGCCCAGCCACTTCCCCTCCGTCCAGCCTTCCGGGTCGCCGGCCGGGAAATGAGCTGGCGCGCCCGCGGAGTCCGCGTTCCGCAGCCGTGTGCGCCCTCGAGGGGTCCTGCCATGGAATCGGGGCGCCCCGGAAGACCCCAGGCTGGTGCTTCAGAGCCAGCCAGGCGGTGCCTCGCTCCAGGCGGACGGCAACCGCAGCCTGGTTGTAACCGTGACGCGGGAGCCGCGGGCTGGGGTGGGGCTGGGGGCGGGCGCCGAGCTCTCCAAGCCGCCTGAACCTCAGGCAGGGAGGGCGGGTCGTGAAGGGCACCCATCGGAAAGGCTTAAAAACCCAGGTGACAGCACCAGGCCTTCCTTCACTGACTGACCATTGACTTCAGATAGGAACTTCACTTCCCTGGGCCTTAATTTTCCAAATCTGTGAAATGGGCTCATCAAGTTGGGAGGCTTAGAATGCAACAGGTATGTAATGCACAGAGCCAGACACACAGAGGGTGAACTGGAGCTGTTAGTGCTGCCTTTGCCGTGACTAAACTCGACAGAAGAACTTCTTGGGCTTGATTTAGGGAAGTAAAAAGAAGTGGATGTGAAAGTCCTGCATAAATTCTAAGTTAAAAAAACCAGACCCACTTCCATTGATTCCCAGTCAGAGAAACCCTGCAGGACAGAGTGGAAACCACGAGGTTTCTAAGACTGTAAATCTCCAGAAGCCGACTGCATCTTTCTCCCCCTGGTGCACAGGATGGCTTCCCACCTCCAGCTTTTAACAACCCAGCTCTTAACCCCCTGCTCCACCAGAGCACCTACCATTCTGAAGTCTCTGACAAATTCCCACAAAGTCACTTTATTACATTTGTGCTTAATCCACAGTTTGGTTGTTCAATAGCATTCCAACTTAGTCATGTCGTAATTCTCTCTTTCCATAGTCTTTTTGGGACTTTCTATCCTGTCATCATTATTACAAATGTGCTTGCCTTTCAAAAAAAACAACACAGAACTCCAAACTTGGTGACTATTTTTCTTAGCACTAAAATAGACTCATATTTGACCAAATAACTGTTAACCTTTTAAAAGTTTCAGTTAGTATTATTGTGCCCTGATTGTCACATTGAGGGCCATCTTCACCGCTCTTCAGAAAGACTGCAGTGACCATCTCCCCACAGCCCTGCCAGCACTGAGTTTTCTGTGTTTTTGATTTTGTTTGGTTTGGATGGCTGTGACTGGTACTTTATGACCCCTCATGAATGTTTTCACTGTGCCTGGGTCAGAGGACGTCCAGTATAGAGCTGGGGAGGAGGAATTGGCCGC